GTTTTTTCTAATTCTGTGAAGAAAGTCAATGGTAGCTTGATGGCAATAGCATTGAATCTACAAATTACCTTGGGCAGTATGGCCATTTTCACAATATTGATTCTTTCTATCCGTGAGCATGGAATATTTTTCCATTTGTCTGTGTCCTCTCTTATTTCCTTGAGCAGTGGTTTGTAGTTCTCTTTAAAGAGGTCCTTAACACTCAATAAACTAGGTGTTGACAGAACATATGTCAAAATAATAAGAGTTGTTTCTGACAAACCCACAGGCAATATCATACTGAATGGGCAAAAGCTGGAAGCATTACCTTTGAAAACTGGCACAAGACAAGGCTGCCCTCTCTCACCACTCCTATTCCACATAGTATTGGAAGTTCTGGCCAGCACAATCAGGCAAGAGAAAGAAATAAAGAGTATTCAAATAGGAAGAGAGGAAGTCATATTATCTCTGTTTGCAGATGACATGATTGTATATTTAGAAAACCCCATTGTCTCAGCCCAAAAACTCCTTAAGCTGATAAACAACTTCAGCAAAGTCTCAGGATACAAAATCAATGTGCAAAAATCACAAGCATTCCTATACACCAGTAATAGACAAATAGAAAGCCAAATCATGAGCAAACTCCCATTCACAATTGCTACAAAGAGAATAAAATTCTTAGGAATACAACTTACAAGGGAGCTTCATTCATTTATCTAACCACCTTATGAGGTAAGTGTTAGTAGTCCCACTTTACAGTTGAAGAAAAAGGTATGGAGAGATTAGGTAACTCATCCAAGTCGGAAGTTTGGCTTCATAGTTCATGTTTTTAACTATATTCATAGCATTGATGTTATATTCGTAACATCAATCTGTATTAGTTGTCTATTGCTGCACAAAACAGTACCACAAAACTTAGTGGCTTAAAGCAGCAAATGTTTATTACCTCACAGTTTCTGTGGTTAGGAATCTAGGCATAGCTTCGCTGGGTCTCCTAGTTCAGGGCCTCTTACAAGGCTGCAGTCAGGGTGTTGGCAAGTACCCAGTCATCTGAAGGCTCTGATGGAGGTAAATCCACTTCTAAACTCACTCATTTAACTCTTGGCAGGAGTCGTTTCCTCTTGGGCTGTTGGACTGAGGAAATCAGTTCCTTTCTGGTTGTTGGCTGCAAGATGCCCTTTGCTGCCTGCTACAGGGACCTTTCCATTGGGCAGCTTGCAGCATAGCAGCTTGCTTTATTAGAGTGAGCAAGCGAGAGAACAACAGGGTGGAGATTATCTGTAAGGCAAAGTCACAGCCTTTTCTAATTTAATCTTGGAAGTGATATCCCACCTACTTCTGCCATATTCTGTTGTTAAACATGAGTCACTAGGTCCAGGCCACAATTAGTAGAAGAGGCTTTCACAAAGGCTTGAATATCAGGAGGTACAGATAACTGGGAGCCATTTTAGAAGATACCACATAACTCACGGTTAGTAACCAGCTTGTCTTAATTTCCATACATTTCTTTTCTTATTGAGTGAATTTGATATCAAAAGGCCTAGCTATTTTGGCTATCATAGCAGCAATGTTTTGCCATTATGCTGCATACTAAGTTATAATTTATTTTCATGCTTATATCTTGTATTAGACTGCATAATGTCATCTGCTATAATATAGAATTCAAAACTCTCTATGACTTAATACAAAACAATAGGTATTTTTTTTTTATATGGGCCAGACTGCTCTGCTAGGTGACTTTCTCTAAAGGATAATACAGGGATTTAGACTCATGTGGCTCTACCATTTTGAAATGCATCCCTCTAGCCATAAAGATGTGGGAGATTTTAACAGCCAGGCTTGTGAGTGATGTTCATCATTTCTGCACACATTGCATTGCCCAGAACTAGTGACAGGGTTCAACTTAACTCTAAGGGAAGATGGGAAATGTAATCTTCTGTCTGTGCTCAGGGATAAAAGAAAGGACGAAAGGATTGGTAAGCAGTTAATTTCACCTCACAACTTATTGAGATATGCTACTTGCCTTAAAAAAATAAATATATATGTACACACACACACTGCTTAAGTGTTTCCCTTAAAAATTCTTTTGGCTCTATTTATTTCATTTTTTATTAAAAATAACATATATGTAGAAAACACATAATCATATAATATCATTTAACATGTAATTGTAAAGCAAACAAATAAGCAACCATTCAGTCACTGCCCAGATCAAGCATTAGAATGTGGCCAGCACCCTAGAAACCCCCTGAATACTTTATCAATTACAACCCCTCACTATCCCAAATTTTATGATAATTGCTTTCCCATTATTCTATGTTTACCTCTACCAGAACCTTCTTGTTTTCCTTCTTGATTAGGATTTTGGAATTTGCCACCTCTTTCTTCTGTCTCTATGTCCTTCACTCGTATTTAGCCCTCAAATCCTTATACCCACCTGATCTCCAGTCAAACTGCTCTTCCTATCCCCAAGATCACCAGGGACTCCCTTATTATATTCGACAAATGTCTTAGTCCTTTTCTTCATGGACTTATTTGTGGAATTTGACTATGTTGGCATTTTCTCTTTCTCAAAACCTTTGACATGTTACAAGTTTCTCTAGTGGTTTTCTTCTCATATTCTTTTGGCTGATTCTTCACAGTTTTCTTATAGGTTTATCTTCCTCTGCCCACCTTCAATATTGGTGTTTCTCTGTCATTTCCTACCAATCTCACCCACTTTTACTGTTTTAACTCCCATTTATAACTTATGATTGTTAAATCAATATCTCTTGCTGCATATTCTCCCCTGAGTTCCAGACCCATAGCTTGTCTTCCTTCAGTCATTTCCACATGGGTAATTCATATGTATCTCTAACTTAGCAAGTTCTATGTTTTATCTTGATTAGATAGGAGGAATGATAATAACAGATAGGATCTACTGAGTTCTTTCTAGGTGCCAAGCACTGCTTTAAGTGCTTTACATGAATGAATTCATTTTAATTTTCATTTTAACAAGAAATACCATAAAGTAGTTACTATTATCATTGTACAGATGAGGAAACTGACACATAGGAATGTTAAGATGCTTGCCAAGGTCACAAAGAAATATCAGGCATATCCTTGATTGAAAGTCTGGCCCTTTAGCTTCAAACCAGATTTTCTGACCCCTGTAATGCATACAGCTGCCTCTCAAGTCAGGGCTTGTGTCTATGCTTTTGACCGTGAGTCTAGTGGACTTTGTGTAGTATTCAGCTTATTCAGATAGGGATATATAAGAGGAATATTAGTTTGAGTTGATGTGATATTATTTTAATTCTCCAGACATCTGAAAACATCTGTCAACAGTATGGCAGCTAAATCCTACCCAGGGATGACTCACCCCATTTCAAAGTAGAAGGAGTCAGTATTATTTTGTGTACAAATACAAAATAGGTAAGTCAAATGCAAATACAAAGAGTCAGTCACCACAAAATAATGCTGACCCCCCTCTACTAATAATAATCAAACTGATTGTACTATATAAATTTTTTAATACTTAGTTATAAAGAATTCCCAGTAGGAGAAACTTTGCCTATTGAAGGTATGTCCATGTCTGGAGAGATGAACAACCTATTCTAAGAATAACAGACTAAGGCAGAGAAAAAAAAAATGTATCAATCTTGGTGGTACAAATGTAATATACATACTTTATAACTATGGATAGACCTTTCATTTGTGTTAGTGAGCTAGTTTTTAAAAACAACATGATGGAAGAATGAGGATTTTTCATTGGTTCAGCCATAAAAGTTAGTACTGTTTTATTGGCTCAATGACTAAAACAAAGTACGCAATGCTTGAAAGAAATTCAGTAGCAGTTAAGTAATAATTTCCATGAAGAAATTAGTTAGTGACATATGGTATTGAAATCATGTGAAAAAAAAATGCTCAACAGCACTTATGATTAGACAAATGCAAATCAAAGCCACAATGAGATACCATCTCTCACCAGCCAGAATGGCCATTAAAAAGTCAAAAAATAACAGATGCTGGCAAAGTTGTAGAGAGAAAGGAATGTTTGTATACCGTTGGTAGGAGTGTACATTAGTTCAATCATTGTGGAAGACAGTGCAGCGATTCCTCAAATATCTAAAAACAGACCTACCATTTGACCCAGCAATCCCATTACTGGATATATACCCAAAGGAATATACATTGTTTTATCATAAAGACACATACACATGTATGTTTCTTGCAGCACCATTCACAATAGCAAAGACATGGAATTAACCTAAATGTCCATCAGTGGTAGAATGGATAAAGAAAATGTGGTATGTATATACCATGGAATACTATGCAGCCATAAAAAATGAAATCATGTCCTTTGCAGCAACATGGATGGAGCTGGAGGCCATTATCCTTAGCAACTAATGCAGGATCAGAAAACCAAATACCACATGTTCTCACTTATAAGTGGGAGCTATGTTCACCGACACAGAAGGGAACAACACATATTGGGTCTTATGAGAGGGTAAAGGTGGGGAGGAAGGAAAAGATCAGGAAAAATAACTAATGAGTACTAAGCTTAATACCTGGATGATGAAATAATCTGTGCAGTAATCCCCCATGACACAAGTTTACCTATATAACAAACCTGGAGATGTACCCCTGAACTTAAAATAAAAGATAAATAAAATTAAAAAAAAAGAAAAAAGGCAAAATAGCCACAGTCTCAGATAATTGTAGCCATGTTTGAATCATGTGATGACTTGTTACTTGTAATACTCGAGGAAGAGAGGACCTTGGAATATGTTTGGACTCTGAAAAAATTGTTGCCTTATTAACCTTTCACAGCAAACTAAGTTGTGTTAAAGATATATATATATATATATATATATATATATATAGAGAGAGAGAGAGAGAGAGAGAGAGAGAGAGCTCAACAGATCAGTGTCATTGTACTTAATCTCACTGATAGCTCATTCATTCAAAATTCTCAGAATTCACTTTAATAGTTCAAATGTTCTCTAAAGTAACTTTCTTACTTTTCTCTTTTTGCTTAGGTGATGCTGGGTCAAAAATCCATCTGACTCAACAGGTAGACATAGCGGCACAGGTTGCCTCTGGAATGGCCTATCTGGAGTCTCGGAACTACATTCACAGAGATCTGGCTGCTAGAAATGTCCTTGTTGGTGAACATAATATCTACAAAGTAGCAGATTTTGGACTTGCCAGAGTTTTTAAGGTGGATTTAGTTTTGTTTTAATTAGTTTTTGTAATAGGTCAAAAGTCTAACAGTTAGTAAACCAATAGATATACTGTTATTCTTTAAAACAATGTTTCTCCAAGTTCTGTAGTCCATAAACTACTTCAGTAGTCCAAAACCTTACAAACTGCCTGCACATTCCTATTTCTTTATCAAGGAGAAACAAAATAGAGAAAACAGTGACCAACCAGATTGGAAAGTGTGTACTTAAGTATATAGTTGAATTAATGATCTGTTTTTCAGTTAGTACCAGTCACCTCTGTTCACCTCTGTTTCCTTTACAAAAGCTGTACACTTCGTGCAGTGTTAACCTAGCCACCATTACTCACTGTATGCCAGACTAATTTGCATGCCACCAGAATTCTTCAGCAATCATTGGCTTTTTGATTTCCCAATTTTTACATCAGTCTGAAAGATACTCTATAGGAGATGTAATATTAGGTGTTTTTCTCTGAAATTAATTTGAAATTTCCATATTGTACCCTAAAAATATGGATACAGGGCATGAAACAACAAATAAATGATTCCCTTTTAATCTTCATGAATTCATCACTTTTTTTCTTTTTGTAAATTAATTAGTACCCCAGTGAGTTTATATATTAATTTAAAACACTTAGATCCTACTTTTCATTATTAGCAAGTGGTTACATGGTAATTATCAAAGTCAGTGGCTTTTCAATATCATCAGTAAATCAAACAATAGACTTTGCTCCCTTATTTTTTCGCTCAGGATCAGATGTGAAGCCAGAATCATGTATTAATTCTCCAAATGTAGTAGAATGTTTCTTTCAGTGCTATTCTTGGCACATAGTAGGCTCTTAAATAATATTTTATTAATGACTTCCCACATATTTTTCAGTCTTGTATACCAGATTCAGAATTTGCTAAGGTAATTGTCAATAGAACTAAGCTCATTTTGAATCTTTTTTCTCTAAATTTTGATGTGAAGCAGATTATAGATGAATGAGGGTAGCAAAAAAAAATTACTTTAACTTGGCCTGGATTCCTTAATGCATTAACAGGTAGATAATGAAGACATCTATGAATCTAAACACGAAATAAAGCTGCCGGTGAAGTGGACTGCGCCCGAAGCCATTCGTACTAATAAATTCAGCATTAAGTCCGATGTGTGGTCATTTGGAATCCTTCTTTATGAAATCATTACTTATGGCAAAATGCCTTACAGTGGTGAGTAATTAATTCTGAAGTGGACCTTTTTGCTGCAGGTCACTTACTTAGGTGTGACTTTAACTGCTTCTCCCAGACTTAGAGGGCAGAGTTATGAGGCTGACCATACCAAGTACCTGCGGGAGCTTGATAGATAAAATTTGATGATGATAATTTGCATTAATGAGGTGGTTTATTACTTCCCTCTCCTTTGCTAGTGAATTGCAGTCTTATAGACATCGCTTGCCTCAGGACTTAGTTTAATCCGTGTAACCTGGGAAGGGGATGGTAGACCTCAAAGCTTTGCCAAGGAAATTGACTTACTTAGTAACCTAGAGTATAAATGGCTATAAGTTTAAGACTCTGAGCCTTAACTTGGTTTTTTGTTGTTGTTGTTGTTATTGTTTCCGTTCTGTATTTTCTAGGTATGACAGGTGCCCAGGTAATCCAGATGTTGGCTCAAAACTATAGACTTCCCCAACCATCCAATTGTCCACAGCAATTTTACAATATCATGTTGGAGTGCTGGAATGCAGAGCCTAAGGAACGACCTACATTTGAGACACTGCATTGGAAACTTGAGGACTATTTTGAAACAGACTCTTCATATTCAGATGCAAATAACTTCATAAGATGAACACTGGAGAAGAATATCAAATAATAAAGTAGCAAAACAAATTCAAATAGTTCCAAAGTACAATGTTATCAACCAACTCCACAATCAGTTTATCCTGACGTATTCAAGTGATAGGATAAAGTTGGCCATGTATTATAAAAAAGATTATTTGTGCATTTTATTGACTGGGCCACACTGAAAGACAATCAAGGTGATATGTAATTTCCTCACTGCCTGGTAAAATTAAGCACACTAAACAAAGTTATTTTTCTTTTTAAGAGATACTTACATTTCAATTTATTGTTTGAAATGCCGATCAAGAGAATCAACAGATGATAGTCAGTTTTTACTCAGTGACTGTTGTAGCGTCTTCCTGTTTACTGATTAGAGTGGTTATTCATTATTCCTCAGATTGCTGAATCCCATCAGGCTGTTATTATAAAGGAATTTGATTGCTTTGCTGCACAGCAGGACCTGTGCTTTGAGATTTTTTTTTTCTCTTTTAAAATATCCTGTAACTACAATGATGGTAAAGCCATGTTAAATGACTTGATTGTACTTGGAGTAATTGCACACATTTTTTTCTATGCATAAAAAAATGATGCAGCTGTTGAGAAAATGAATTAAAATCTTTTTCATTTTGCAGAAGGAAATGATGGAATTTTTCTATACCTCAGTATGTGTCAACTGAGAGTCATATACATTAGTTTTAATGTCTTAATATTGAGAATCAGGTTGCAAAACTGATGAGTTATTATCTATGGAAATGTGAGAAATATCTAATAGCCTGTAAAGGCTGAGAAATAAGTATCAAAATAGTTTAGGAAAATGAGAGGAGAACAGTAGGATTGCTGTGGCCTAGACTTCTGAGTAATTAATAAAGAAAAAGAAATACCCTTTGGCCTACAGATCAGAGTTTTATTTATTTTTATTTTTTACTTTTTATTATAGTTTAAGTTCTGGGGTACATGTGCAGAAAGTGCAGTTTTGTTACATAGGTATACTCGCGCCATGGTGGTTTGCTGCACCCATCAACCCGTCATCTACATTAGGTATTTCTCCTAGTGCTGTTTCTCCCCTAGCCCTCCATCCCCTGACAGGCCCCAGTGTGTGATGTTCCCCTCCCTGTGTCCATGTGTTCTCATTGTTCAGCTCCCGCTTATGAGTGAGAACATGCAGTGTTTGGTTTTCTGTTCTTGTGTTAGTTTGCTGAGAATGGTTGTTTCCAGCTTCATCCATGTCCCTGCAAATGACATGAGCTCACCCATTTTTATGGCTGCATAGTATTCCATGGTATATATGCGCCACATTTTCTTTATCTAGCCCATCATTGATGGGCATTTGGGTTGGTTCCAAGTCTTTTCTATTGTGAATAGTGTTGCAGTAAACATGCATGTGCATGTGTCTTTATAGTAGAATGATTTATAATCCTTTGGGTATATACCCAGTAATGGAATTGCTGGGTCAAATGGTATTTCTAGTTCTAGATCCTTGAGGAATTGCTAGACTGTCTTCCACAATGGTTGAACTAATTTACACTCCCACCAACAGTGTAAAAGTGTTCTTATTTCTCCACATCCTCTTCAGCATCTGTTGTTTCCTGACTTTTTAATGATCTCCATTCTAACCGGTGTGAGATGGTATCTCATTGTGGTTTTGATTTGGATTTCTCTAATGATCAGTGATGATGAGCTTTTTTTCATATGTCTGTTGGCTGCATAAATGTCTTCTTTTGAAAAGTGTTCAAATCCTTCACACACTTTTTATGGGGTTGTCTGTTTTTTTCTTGTAAGTTTGTTTATGTTCCTTGTAGAGTCTTGGTATTAGCCCTTTGTCATATGGATAGCTTGCAAACATTTTCTCCCATTCTGTAGGTTGACTGTTTACTCTGATGATAACTTCTTTTGCTGCCTAGAAGCTGTTTAGTTTAATTAGATCCCATTTATCAATTTTGGCTTTTGTTGCCATTGGTTTTTGTGTTTTAGTCATGACATCTTTTCCCATGCCTATGTCCTGAATGGTATTAACGAGGCTTTCTTCTAGGTTTTTTATGGTTTTACGTCTTATGTTTAAGTCTTTAATCCATCTTGAGTTAATTTTTGTATAAGGTGTAAGGAAGGGGTCCAGTTTCAGTTTCCTGCATATGCTAGCCAGTTTTCCCAACACCATTTATTAAATAGGAAATCCTTTCCCCATTGCTTGTTTTTGTTCGGTTTATCAAAAATCAGATGGTTGTAGATGTGTGGTGTTATTTCTGAGGCCTCTGTTCTGTTCCATTGGTCTATATATTTGTTTTGGTACCACTACCATGCTGTTTTGTTTACTGTAGGCTTGTGATATAGTTTGAAGTCAGGTAGCATGATGCCTACAACTTTGTTCTTTTTGCTTAGGATTATCTGGGCTATGCAGGCTCTTTTTTGGTTCCATATGAAGTTTAAAGTAGTTTTTTCCAATTCTGTGAAGAAAGTCAATGGTAGTTTGATGGGGATAGCATTGAATATATAAATTGCCTTGGGCAATATGGCCATTTTCACAATATTGAGTCTTCCTATCCATGAGCATGGAATGTTTTTCAATTTATTTGTATCCTCTCTTATTTCCTTCGGCAGTGGTTTGTAGTTCTCCTTGAAGAGGTCCTTCACATCCATTGTAAGTTGTATTTCTAGGTATTTTATTCTCTTTGCAGCAATTGTGAATGGGAGTTCACTCATGATTTGGCTCTCTGTTATTGGCATATAGGAATGCATGTGATTTTTGCACATTGATTTTGTATCCTGAGACTTTGCTGAAGTTGCTTACCAACTTAAGGAGATTTTGGGCTGAGATGGTGGGGTTTCCTACTTATACAATTATATCATCTGCAAACAGAGACAATTTGACTTCCTCTTTTCCTATTTGAGTACCCTTTCTTTCTTTCTCTTGCCTGATTGCCCTGGCCAGAACTTTAAATAGTAGGTTGAATAGGAGTGGTGAGAGAGGGCATCCTTGTCTTGTGCCAGTTTTCAAAGGTAATGCTTCCAGCTTTTGCCCATTCAGTATGATATTGGCTGTGGTTTTGTCATAAATCTGTCTTATTATTTTGAGATACGTTCCATCAATACCTAGTTTATTGAGAGTTTTTAGTATGAAGGGGTGTTGAATTTTATCAAAGGCCTTTTCTGCATCTATTGAGATAATCATGTGGTTTTTGTCATTGGTTCTGTTTATGTGATGGATTGTGTTTATTGATTTCTGTATGTTGAACCAACCTTGCGTCCCAGGGATGAAGCCAACTTGATCGTGGTGGATAAGCTTTTTGATGTGCTGCTGCATTCGGTTTGCCAGTATTTTGTTGAGGATTTTCGCATCAATGTTCATCAGGGATATTGGCTGAAATTTGTGTGTGTGTGTGTGTGTGTGTGTGTGTGTGTGTGTGTGTGTGTGTGTGTCAGGTTTTGGTCTCAGGATGATGCTGGCCTCATAAAATGAGTTAGGGAGGAGTCCCTCTTTTCCTATTGTTTGGAATATTTTCAGAAAGAATGGTACTAGCTTTGTACCTCTTTGTACCTCTGGTAGAATTCGGCTGTGAATCTGTTTGGTCCTGGAATTTTTTTGGTTGGTAGGCTATTAATTACTGCCTCAATTTCAGAACTTGTTATTGGTCTATTTAGGGATTAAACTTCTTCCTGGTTTAGTCTTGGGAGGGTGTATGTGTCCAGGAATTTATCCATTTCTTCTAGATTTTCTAGTTTATTTGCTTAGAGGTATTTATGGTAATCTCTGATGGTATTTTGCATTTCTGTGGGATCAGTGGTGATCTCCTCTTTATCATTTTTTATTGTGTCTGATTCTCTCTTTTCTTCTTTTTAGTCTGGCTAGTGTTCTATCTATTTTGTTGATCTTTTCAAAAAATCAGATCCTGGATTCATTGATTTTTTTGAAGTGTTTTTCATGTCTCTATATCCTTCAGTTCTGCTCTGATCTTAATTATTTCTTGTCTTCTGCTAACTTTTGAATTTGTTTGCTCTTGCTTCTCTAGTACTTTTAATTGTGATATTAGGGTGTCAATTTTAGATCTTTCCTGAGTCCTCTTGTGGGCAGTTAGTGCTATTAATTTCCCTCTACACACTGCTTTCAATGTGTTCCAGAGATTCTGGTACATTGGGTCTTTGTTCTCATTGTTTTCAAAGAGCATCTTTATTTCTGCCTTAATTTTGTTATTTACCCAGTACTCATTCAGGAACAGGTTGTTCAGTTTCCAAGTAGTTGTGAGGTTTTGTGTCAGTTTCTTAATCCTGAGTTCTAATTTGATTGCACTGTGGTCTGAGAGACTGTTTGTTATGATTTCTATTCTTTTGCATTTTCTGAGTAGTGTTTTGCTTCCAATTATGTGATCACTTTTAGAATAAGTGTGATGAGGTGCTGAGAAGAATGTATATTCTGTTGATTTGGGATGGAGAATTCTGTAGATGTCTGTTAGGTCCACTTGGTCCAGAGCTGAGTTCAAGTCCTAAATATCTCTGTTAATCTTCTGTCTCATTTATCTGTCTAATATTGACAGCAGGCTGTTAAAACTTCCCACTATTATTGTGTGGGAGTCTAAGTCTCTTTGTAGTTCTCTAAGAACTTGCTTTATGAATCTGGGTGCTCCTGTATTTGGTGTATATATATTTAGGATAGTTAGCTATTCTTATTGCATTGATCCCTTTACCATTATGTAATGCCCTTTTTTTTTTTATCTCTTTTGATCTTTGTTGATTTAAAGTCTGTTTTATCAGAGACTAGGATTGCAACCCCTGCTTTTTTTTCTGCTTTCCTTTTGCTTGGTAAATATTCCTCCATCCCTTTATCTTGAGCCTATGTGTGTCTTTGCATGTGAGACGGGTCTCCTGAATACAGCACACCGATGGGTCTTGAGTCTTTATCCAATTTGCCATTCTGTGTCTTTTACTTGGGGCATTCAGCCTGTTTACATTTAAGGTTAGTATTGTTATGTGTGAATTTGATCCTGTCATATGATGCTAGCTGGTTATTTTGCCTGAAATTTGATGCTGTTTCTTTATAGTGTTGATGGTCTTTACAATTTGGCATGTTTTTGCAGTGGCTGATATTGGTTGTTTCTTTCCATGTTTAGTGCTTCCTTCAGGAGCTCTTGTAAGGCAGGCCTGGTGGTGACAAAATTTCTCAGCATTTGCTTGTCTGTAAAGGATTTTATTTCTCCTTTGCTTATGAAACTTAGTTTGGTTGAATATGAAATTAGGGGTTGAAAATTCTTTTTTTTAAGAGTGTTGAATATTGGTCCCCACTCTATTTTGGCTTGTAAGGTTTCTGCAGAGAGATCCTCTGTTAGTCTGATGGGCTTCCCTTTGTGGGTAGCCCGACCTTTCTCTCTGGCTGCCCTTAACATTTTTTTTCCTTCATTTCAACCTTGGTGAATATGACGATTATGTGTCTTGGGGTTGCTCTGCTGGAGGAGTATCTTTGTGGCGTTCTCTGTATTTCCTTAAGTTGAATATTAGCCTGTCTTGCTAGGTTGGGGATGTCGTCCTGGATAATATCCTGAAGAGTGTTTTCCAACTTGGTTCCATTCTCCTGGTCACTTTCAGGTACACCAGTCAAACGTAGATTTGGTGTTTTCACATAATCTCATATTTCTTGGAGGCTTTATTAGTTCCTTTTCATTCTTTCTTTCTCTAATCTTGTCTTCTCCTTTATTTCATTAAGTTGATCTTCAGTCTCTGATATCCTTTCTTGCGCTTTATCGATTTGGCTATTTATAGTTGTGTGTGCTTCATGAAGTTCTCGTGCTGTGTTTTTCAGCTCCACCAGGTCATTTATGTGCTTTGCTATACTGGTTATTCTAGTTAGAAATTCCTCTAAACTTTTTACAGTGTTCTTAGCTTCCTTGCATTGGGTTAGAACATGCTCC